CGAAAGCGAGCATTTGATCCTTTAGATCTATCTTTGTGAAACTACAGCCGTGATAGGTGGCAGAGTTATGGAGTCTTGTGCTCTTGAGACGCACCCTTCCTTTATGCAATATAACTTTGTACTAGTTGAGAATTCCTTTATGCTTATCTGTATCTCCTTTTTCTAATATTTCTGTACTAACTTCTTAGAAATAAGGAAATTCTCAACAGTGTGCTTGAATCTTTGTCTTGCTTTTGACTTTCAATGATATTAGAATCTCCATCTATCAAGTAAATTGATTGTGCAAAATATACTCTTCTCTTATATATTTGATTCACACATCAATACTACTTGTTTCTGGACTGAGATAACTTCTTGATTCAATCAAGATTCTATGCTTCTTAAACTTTACTCAGTTGTGGTCTTGAAACTTTGCCTCGCTCATTCTAAAACCACTAACTATATGACTTGAACAGTATAACCATTAATAAATAGCTATACTAAACTTTAAGAAAATTGTTAATTTTTCGAAAACACCTAGCTTGTGCTAGAGTTCCGGTTAATCTATCTTTTCTAGCTTCTTCTCGCCATTTCTTACTTATGGCTTTTAACTCATCATTTATCTTTGGGGACAAATACCTTCTCCAAAGAGATGAAAAAACATATTAGTCTTTACTTATTAAACAGACTATCTTTAACTTTCACATGTCCAGATTACTCTTGCTTAACTTAAAAAATTCTTCCTAGAAACTTAAATACTTATCTCAGTATCTGGAATGTGTTACTTATTAACTGATATCTTTTAAGGTTCGAATTCAAGTCTCCAGGAAATTCGGACTTAATAACCCTTATTTCAGGTTTCTATAATTTTCCCGGCTACATGACTATTATATGTCGATACCTTAATCTTCATACTCATTGATTTCTGAAAAGTACTTTGTAGACTTGTTCTTATTCTGCAAGTACTAATATAAATAACTTATAACTTTATCTCGAACTTTGTCACTTTTTAACTCATGATATCTAACTGATAAGATATCAAAACTTCTGATTATAAAAATTGAATATTTTCTTGAAAATTTATTTCTTACGGTTCAGTTTTCAAGCCTACAGGATCTGATCCGGCTTGTGGTTCTTATTTCAAACCCCCATGATGTTTCCCGTACTTTTTGGCTATTATATACTGACATACCGTTACTTCTTATACTTGGCTCAAATACATCGTCAATCTTTATAATCAGATCTTAACTTGAATCTTATTCTTATGGCTTAACTTAGAATGTTCGAGTTCTTTCTTAATCTAGTCAACTTGATAAACTAGATTTCAAACTTTAATACTTGAACATATAAACAAATTTCTAGAGTTCGTATATCTGAATTCTTATTGAGCATAGACTTAGTAAATTTGAATATATTGAAAAACTTGTATAAAACTTTTAACAGCACTTACCTGGTAGTTGACGAGGTGTGAGCCTGGTGTGGTCGGGTATTCTTGAAATTCTCTGTAAAAACTTTGATTTCTCTGAAAACGTTCTCTTTCAGAACTTAAACTTTTAGTATACAAAGCATTTAAAACTCTAGCTCTGATACCACCTGTAACACCCCGCTTATCAGAGTAAATTTTTCGCAACTTTTACTTCGAAAATACTTAACTCTTTTGAAATCTTTTACGACTAACTCGGGATGCTACTCAAACTCATCATCTTGAAAATCCGTTTATCATTAAACTTTTGTCTAATACTTCTGTAGACATAAATAAAACAGATTTCCTTTAAACTTGCATTTAAAATACCATAATCATGTTTCTCATAATGGTAAAAACTTGAAATCTGAAATTCATTAAAATGCAAGTTCAATACTTAATGTGCATAGCGGAAATACTTGAAAACGTGGTTAATTATACAGACTGTTATAAATGTCCGTATCAAAGCTTGTCTTCATCTGAGTCCACGATCCACACCAACACTGCTCCACTCACACCTCCTCTTCGACCTGTTACCTGAAACTAAAACTCATGGGGATGAGTAACGAATATGGATAATCATAAACGGATATCTGATCGGTAACCAGAAATCTGTTCTGGTACTGAAACTTAAACTGGCCGATATCTGATCGGATACGTGTGCACACTCTGATGGATATTTCTAAGGAACCTAATGGCCTCCATCAGAACTTAGGATATAATCTCTGAGAACAAATTAATGCCTCCTCATCCTAAGCGTAAAACTTAAACTGTAGGATATACTCTGAGACAACTGATAGTCTCCTCATCCCATATGACATCAATATCGTACTCAACGTGATACCCATTCAGGGTCCCCACCTTTTTGTCTTTGAAATCATTTGGAAAAAACGATAAGTGCTGTACTGGTACTGTATCTGCAAGTTACATCAAAAATAAACAAATATACTAAGTACTATGCTCGTATACTCAATAAGAATTTTAGGATTATTAACTTATCCAAATCTTATAGAATTCATTAAACTTGCTTTTTCTCAAGTTTATACTTAACTTCTCTTTTTACTTTTACTTAAGGTCAATTACTTAACCTTATAAATCATGTCTTCATAAACATCAATATGGTATACTTAGCATGTCATAACTCAAATGTGAAAATAACTATATTTCCAATTATACTTGATTGAGTATTTAAACTTAAAACATGCTTACTTTTACCAACATCATCAACATGATTTATAACTTATCTTAATTTAATTTGATCAAATACTTAATTCATCATACATCATATTTCCCAATCTTTAGATATTGGCTTATACTAAATTTTCACTTAATTAACTTGAAAGTGAAAATAATCTCAAGCCATAATCATCTTTTACTCATAACATTTAATCATGATGTTAATATGTCATACTTAATACAATCTTTATAAAATTGTATACTCAACATATTATACCAAAACATCATCAAATTACTCATCACTTATATGAGAATTACTCATGATCATCTCATTTAACAACTTAAACATTTCATGAATATTCTTGCATATATATACTTATCTTTACATATATGCTTTCTTATATTCATAACTTATTCATTTCTCATCTTTAAATTATGAAAATTAACAGTCATATTCTTAACTCATATTTAGACATGTCATAAAAATTTCAAAATTTTATCATGCATATATCTCGACTTATTCAAGTTTAAAGTTGCTGCTGGAAACAAGTACATAAAATTCAGCTTGCATAATAAACTTTAAAAATTCATATCTTGAGTTATACTAAACTAAATGACTTGATTCTTGATCTTATGTATTCCTCTTTTACACAAGAAATAACCATAGGAAGCATAGATTTTCAGATTTTTCATAGCTAGTAAAAATCTCATCATAATTGAACACATATGACATATATATGAGCTGGAAATAACTTATTTTCTAGCATGCTTATATTCATATAAAACTTTAATATCTAAGTCATATAAAAACATTATTAAACACTTAATATCATCTACTAAACATGTAAACTCATTATCAAAACATGAACTTAAGCATGTAACTTTTAAGCTAAGTAAATTACCTCCTTCTTGCTAGAGTAAACCTTGATTCTTTACTTCTAAATTCTTCACTTCTCCAAAGTTTCTACTACTTATTCTCTCTCACACTCTTATATAACTTTTGGTACTTAACTTTGGTGTAAGAACTCTAATTTGTAGGCCTCTATTTATAGGCATAAATTAGCAAGACATCATAATGGAGTGAAGAAATGAACAAAATAAACAATTTAAACTTATAAACTTAATTAATCATAAACTATTTTATGATTAACTTGTATTCTTATCCCAACATAATTAATCATAAAAAATGGCCTCTAGTTATAGCCATGAATGAGCTTTTTGGTTGATAAAACTTATTCCACCAAGTTTAATAAAATTCTCATCAATTGTTGAAAAAAAAATGCTAACTTAAAGACTTAGCAAAACTTTGTTGTGATTTTCTCATCTCATTCTCACCAATTGATGACCAAAATTTCGTGCTTAATGTGATGTAATTGATTCCATATATTATTGAAAAAATGCCACCATTCATCATATAAAAATCTTTGGAAACAAAATAATAAAAATAATAAAAATCATCCTTTTTATTACTTATGCATTTTTGTTTCAAAATGGCTGACTTTTAAAACTCTTTTACTGAAAGGTAATGCTCATATATGGTCTTGGATCATGCTAATAAACTGAGAATAATACAATTTACGGAACTCAATTCGGACTTAAAACGAACATTTACCGTAAAACTGAAAATTCTAAAACTTAAATTCTTTACTCACAATTTTTCTTCAATTTAATGAACATATTGCTTCTTAGGATCTAATATAATTATCTTGAAATATTCTACATTTACGGAACCACATTCGGACTTAAACCGAACGATTACCGTAAAACCGAAAATTTTAAAAATTTCGATTTCTATTAAAATAATTTAAATAGACTATAATGTCTAAATAAATTTTCTCACTTCTTTGTACATTTATCACTTAAATGTTCATGGATACTTAACCTTACTTCAAGACTTAACTTGTATCAACTTATGCTAAAACTCAATATTATGATCTTATCTTGATGACTTAAACACTTAGAAAAATTCTAAGTATTTAGTACTAAGGCTCGGCTATTTCTTAATTAAGTTCAACTCATGACCGAACATACATGGTTTCAATTCACTACTTATCTTAAACAATTAATCAAAGTATACTCAATTTCGATTATTCGTCATCTTATATTAATTAATCCCGTCTTATAAATCCATTTATAAAATAAACAGACCGGAATTAATTAATTACTGAACTGGCTCGATTACTGAATAATATTGAACCGAGAATAATTTCGACTTAAAGTCGAATTTTTAACTGAATAACTTAATAACTGGCTCGAACTAGGAACGAGCATTAATAAAAGTCATACTTAGAATAATTACTTTTATTAATTACTGAATGGGATATTACAGGTAGCATGCTAAAATTGGGTGAATTTTAGAGATTTAAATTCAATGGCTGTAGACTTAGTAAGTGGTTTAGAGGGCTGCTCTTGAATTTGATAAAAGAAAGAGAGAGAAGCATAAAATTGTGTTTTGTCTTGAATTTGTAAGTCATTTTGAAAATGTGATTAGGCGTTGTTATGCTGCTAGAATAGGTAACATGCTTCTGGGAAAAAGGATTTTTGTTTCTTTTCATATATATATATATTTTATTCTAGTGTGGGTTGGTAAACTTATAGATGCATGAGGTGCTGCCTATTTAAGTATTTATAAGCTAATATGATTTGTTTATTAAACTGTTGAAAACTGTGAAAATGAGGTGACATTTAGAAATTTAAGTAGCTCCAGTCCATCAATAGGAATGTTTAAGTAAATAGTAACTATGTCATGTGTTTTGTATGTTTTAATTAAATGCTTATGTGTTGTACCTTATGTGTATTATAAGTTCGACTTGTTGTTTCAGACTTTGAATGATTATGTTCGGTGTTGAGCCTTTTGATGCGGTTTAGTAGTTGAGTGTGTTTTACTTGCTTGTGTGGCCTAATCAATCCAATCAACACCCTTAATAATAATTAAATCCTTAATTTTTAGGTTTGAGGAGTCGAGCCCTCGACCTACGTTCTTCAGATTGGGCGATGTTGACCCGATTACCAGGTGAGTTGTTATTCTAAAATTTGCTATGTTGTAAATGTTATTAATGTATAATTTGTGGTATGATCAATGTATGCATGTGAACCATATAGCCTTCGATGTGAGCTGTACCGACCGTCGAACGGTTATCCCCGTAGCTATAGAACGTACTTCACCCTTGAGGATTTATGTAATGCCCCGTTTATTTGTGGATTATTTGGGATATATTATTATTATTTTTATTGTTATTATTATTATTATTGTTATTTTTGTGATAATATTTATATTTATTTTTCTTGAATGCCATAATATTTATTAATTGTCAAATGTGATTAAATGCTAAATGTGTAATTGTCTAATTGATTTTTGTGATTTATTTAATTATTAATGTGTATTTTCTTTTTCTTTATTTTGGGCGTGAATTTGGTGTCTTGGTCAACAAGACTTCATAACCTAATATCATGTGTATGCATACATATATATATATATATATATATATATCTCCATCATCGTTTCTCTTGGCCAAACGCAATCCCGCAGCCTTGATCGATCGCAACTCTCTCTTTCACTGTGATTTTTTTTTTCGTTCGTCCTTCATCACCATCATCATCTCGCTGTGATTTTCCTTCGTCCATCATCTCGCCATCATCTCTCCATCCTCCTCCATCGCAGCAAGTCCGTCGAGCCCCCATCTGCCGCCTTCTCCTTCGCCGTGAAGGTGAACCAGCGAACCAGACACCGCCGTGAGCCTCCTTCCACCGGCCGCGACTTCTCCATTCGTGGGTTTTTCCGGTGAGCTCGATTATCCTCCGAGCAGCGACGTCCGGTGACCTTCCCGACGAGCTCGTGAACCAGCAGCGAGCTCTTCCCCGTGCACATCGAGCCCTTCTCTTTCGCGAGACGAGTTTACCGTCGAGCCCGTTCGAACCCATTCTCGCTCGATTCCCGAGAACGGTACCTCGTCGTTTTTCCGTCTCGTTTTATTCGTATGTGATTATTTCGTTGAGTGTTCATTTTCGTGAAGTGCTCGTGATATATATGTGTGAATTTATTGATGTGTATATGTGCGATTATATGTATTGTTGTGATTTTATGTGTTCGTATGTTCGGGATCTCTTCGATTTTCCCAAAATCGAACGAGACCTCGAAAGTCGTGTAAGTCGGTGGATATTGGAACAATGTCGAGCCCTTGGTCTTATGAAAAGGCCTCGGACGAGAGATTTTATGTTGTGAATTAATTCCTAAGTTGTCGAGCATTTGAATCGCTGTTTTGGTGTTTCAATTCTTAAAAATCGCATACTGATCGGAATGACTTGAAAAATTGTGGGATATGTTATCTGTTCATTTCAAGCCTTGTGTAAAAATTTCGTAATTTTTGGAGGCCTGTAGCTATTTATAATAATTAAAGTGTAATCTGATCAGAATAATGTGAAATGCATAAAAATTTCATGCCTGAATGAAAGAAGCTGAAATTCGACTATGTCATGCTTATGTGACTCATATATGTTGTGTTAAATGTTCAGAATTTTTGAACTTGATTTGATGTGGTTAATATTTTATTTATCGAACCTGCAGAAACGTTGTTTGAATTTTTATAAATTGGTTACTGCATGAAAAATTCTGAAATTTTACTGAGAGGCCTATTTCATGTGTTTGATCATGTTTGTAAAAGATGGAAATTTTTGGAGTTCATTTTAATTCAGTTTGGATTTAAATTCGATAAACTGCTGTTGCTCGTATGATTTTTTAAAAATAGCAGCAGTTATCATTTAAGGCTGAGATTTTCATACATGGACTTTAGCATGCTTTATGTTGTTGTATAAAATTTTCAAGTTCAGATTCATTCATTAAGTCCGAGTATGAATTAATGTGCCCATTTTGCTGATATCCTGTTCGAATTTTACAAAATAGGGTATTTCGAGTTTAAAGCTGAAACTTTGTGGTTTTACATGTTTCTGGGAGATGAAATTTTGTATAAATTGTCAGAGCCTATGTCGTAGGGTAGCTTGACCATCTATTTTCATGCGTTTAATAATTGCTATTTTCGAAACATGATTTTTATATGAAAATTTGGAAATCGACTTGCTTTTCGTTTTGATGGGAGTTTGACTTGGTCAATCCTTGGATGAATTTATGTGAACTCCTTTATGTGGTTTGGTTGAGTTTAGTGCCGAGTCTTAGTGTTCCAACATCCACAGGACTTCACGAACTACTTAGTCGAAACGAGTTCGACTAGGTCTGTCTTGTGATTTCTGATTTAAGTCGAGATAGATATTGATTGTAGGATCTTGACATCATGTAGGTGTCTAGAGGTGTTGACCTTGCCTTATTTCGGGATTTGTGACTGTGAACTGTTGCTGCTATCAGGTGGGTACACTTTTGATGTATTCCATATTTATCGCACCATTTATTTCGTATAATGTCTCTTTGAAAATTAAATGTATGCATCAGAACCCTAGTCTAAGTATTCCTATTGGTAGTGCCTTTGACGAATGCATAACAGTGTGAGGTCACATGCCCGTTGTATCCGGGAGGCGACGCCCTGATCCGTGTGAGTTTCGGGGGGGAAAAACATCTCCACTGTCTCCTGGAAAACATCCATGATCCGTGAGTAGTTCGGGGTGGACTCCCATGATCCGTGAGTAGTTCGGGGTGGGGGAAATTTTCCAGTTACGGCCTTGCCGATGTTTGGTCGGAAGGTTTGTTGTATGTACATAGGAGATTTGCGATAGGGCCGGGTAGGGGGTTTAGACTGTTGGATTCTATGCATACTGAATTTGTGTTACTGCTTTTAAAATAATTATGCGGGATAACTGTGCGATAATGGTGAGCTAGTTGGTTGCTCACCCCCATTATTTTCTTGTTGTTTGCTCTTTTCCTTTGTTCTAGGTTGAGACGAGCTGGAGGCGGTGGCGTAGGACGAGCGAGATGGTGGTCATTATGTGTTGAAAACCTATGCTTCCGTATAAACTCGATATTTATTTGTTTGCTATCATTGCCTTGGATTATTTACTGCTTTCACCTTTCGAACTATGTTTAAGTTGGTTGAACCTTGAATAATGCTAGACCTTTGGAATGGTTTTTTGAGACTTATGTTTTATGGGATTCGTTATATCGTTAGCTCAAGCATGTGTAGGTTCCTTTAATTGTTGGATGTGTGTTGTTTGTTGTTGTTAGTAAGTAGCGCCCGTTTCTCGATAAATGTTTTTAACTTGGATTTTTAAAAAAAAAAAAAACTCTGATTTTTATTAAATAAATTCGATAAATTCTTTAAAATAAAACGGGGCGTTACAATTTACTCCTACTGGCTTGGGCATCGATAGAAGCCCGAGGGGCATTCGGTATTTTACCCCGCAGTAGTGGATTACTCCTACTGGCTGGCACTCGATGTTGGACCCGCGGGCATTCGATATATAGTCACCAGTAGTGGTTTACTCCTACTGGCTGACACTCGATGTAGGACCGGAGGGCATTCGATATATAGTCAGCAGTAGCGGGTTACTCCTACTGGCTGGCACTCGATGTAGGACCGGAGGGAATTTGATATATAGTCAGCAGTAGTCTTGCGTAGGTGGGCACACAAGTCTTGATTTTATGACGATCTTATGACGATATTATGATGACAGGAGATTGGGATATTAGATTGATTCTTATTCATGCTGAGATCATACTGTTGATTTGTTTGATAAGTGTTTACTGCATAGTGGTGAGCACTACTTTTTCCTACTGTGCTCATCCCCACCTGAAATTCACGTTTCACGTTAAGCGAGGCAGGCACGATGGCGGAGTAGAGCGAGTGGTGGTCGGTCTATATGATTGGTCTTATTATTTGTTATTCTTCCGCATTTATGAATTCTGAATTTTATGACTATGAATTTGGAGTATTATTGTATTTATGAATTTGGATTTTATGACTTGAATAATGTTAAGGAGATGCTCCTTAGAATTAATGAATGTTATTGAAACCTAGTTTGGGCGACTTATTAATTTTGGAAAACCCGTTTGGGAGTTAGTAAAATTGATAATTGATGATTGATATTGATAATTGATTTAGTATTGAGAAATCGAATAAGTATTGAAGTTTGTCTTGAAAATGAGTAGGGCCTCAGGTATTTTGAAATAAATTTGAAAAAATTTATTCTGAATTTCGGCAGATAAAAGTGGGGCGTTACAAGTACTCACCCCCATTGTGTTTTTTAGGTAACAGGGTCGGGCCGGAGGTGTGAGCTCGAGATGTGGTGGTGGTGGTTGTGCACTTATTTCAAGTAGATTTATTAAGTATTTGATATGTCTGTATAATAAACCACGTTTTTAAGTATTTCCGCTATGCACATTAAGTATTGAACTTGCATTTTTAATAAATTTCAGATTTCAAGTTTACACCATTTCGAGAAGTATGAATATGGTATAGTTAAATGCAAGTTTAAAGGAAATCTGTTTTCTTTATGTCTAGAGAAGTATTAGACAGAAAGTTTAAAGATAAACGGATTTTCAAGAAGATGAGTTTGAGTAGCATCTCGAGTTAGTCGCATAATATTTAGAAAGAGTTATAAGTATTTTCGAAGTAAAAGTTGCGAAAAATCTACTCTGATAAGCGTGGTGTTACAAAATCGTGAGCAAGTTGTCAGTGCGACTCGGATACGAGACTGAAACTTGGCGTCACTTGTCCACCTTGATGGTGAGGTAGTCGGAGTACGATGACAATACACCGAACAACCTGTTGAGGTCTTGTGTACTGTTGCAAGTCGTTGATATTCATAAGTATAGGCTAAACCGAACTGGGTCCATTGCAAAAAGATGTACGCCTGAGCTCTGGCATCACTGATCACCCTCCCAAGCAAGAAGGTAAATATATGAGCATAGGGCGAGTCGAATTGGTTCCTGTATGTGAGTACATGCCTTTCGAAGAGAAGGTAGGACTCATGGGAACAGAATCGAGTTTCGGAGAGTGATAACGGACCTCGTGATTGGAAATTCCCGTTCGAGTCTGGCGTTCCTTTTAGATGTGTGTTATTTCGCATTTCCGAGGACGAAAATGTTTTAAAGAGGATAGATTGTAATGTCCCGTTTGATTATGAAATTTTTTAGGATTATTTATTATTATTATTATTATTATTATTATTATTATTATTATTATTTATTTGTTGTTCTTATTATTTATTTGATTAAAAATTTTTAAATGTCTTATATGATTTATTTGTCAAATTGTAATTAAATGCCTAATTGTCTAAATGTTAGTTTTATCTAATTAAACGTGTATTTGTATTTTTTACTAATATTATTATTATGTATTTTCCTGGATTATTTAATTATCGTATTTTATTTTATTCCGGTAATTACTCGATATTTTCGGTTAGTCTTATTATTTTTAATTGGAGGTTCTCGTCTAATTGATGTAATAAGTCGCTCTATTTCATTATTTTCCATCGCCAATTGGTTAATCGTATCGATTAGAAGTCCTTGTTACCGCGTTATTCTATCGGCCCAATTTATCGAGAATATTTTCGGCTCATTTTCGAATATTTTTTTTCGACCCTTATTGGGAATAATACTAGCGAAATTGATTTCAATTTTTATATCCAGCCCATTTTCCTTTAAGTTGAGTAGCCCACTTTATTTTGAGTAAATCTTCTTGGCCCAAATTGAAGTTAATGACTTAGCCCAATATCTAGCCTAAGAGTACCTAAGAGTTGCTAAGTTATCGTCCCAAACTAATAATAATAAGCAACCCATTTTCAGCCCATCTTTTTCATTCGAGCAACTCTCTCTCCTCCAAAGAAACGGTCGCAGCTCTCGTGCAACGGCGTCCATAATCCTCGGCCTTTACCTAAATTCCGGCCGCACTGTTTCTAATCGGATTTGCCCTAATACTCCCTATTTAAGGGATTGAGAGCATCAGCCGCATCTCCTATTTTGAGCCCCTTAAATTCCCCTCCGGATTTCGCAAATCGCCCAGCGAATTCGAGAGCCAGCCATTTCTGGCTACGAGGAGTCCGTGCACGCCGACGACCTCCGAGACCTTTGAGCTCCAACCTCCGATCTCTAGACGGACAACTAGCTTCTATCTCGAGCCGCGATTCCCGAGCTCCTCCGCGACCTGAGTCCAATTTCCCGGCGAGAGCAGCCGAATCGGCCCAACGACGAGATTCCCGGCGACGCGAGGTAGGTGAACCGAGAACGAGCAGCAGCGGCGGATCTATTCCTGACGTCGAGCCGCGATCCAACCTCCGACCTCTAGCCCGACTGAGCCTCGATCCCTTCAAACTCTGACCTCTGGCCATCCGACGGCAAGAGCACCAAGCCTCAGCGACGGGATTTCCTGCAAGAGCAGCACCAGTCCGGCGAGTTCCAGGCGTCAGAGATCGTGCAATCGAAAGTGGGAAAACGCCGGCGAAGAGCTTCAGTTCCTGACGGCTGAAGAGACCGAACGCGACTGTCAAAGGCTGACCCTTAGCGAAGATTCGAGCAGCCCTGTCGGCGAACGAGTGCACCCAGCCGTTCGCCATAACCGTGTAGACCCGAGCTTTTTCCGGCAACGAGCAGCAGCCGCTCGAGGCTCTTATCGAGCAACCGTCGGTTTCAATTTTGAGCAGCAGCAGCCCTTTTGGGTCCCGGGCGAGAACAGAAGTGGGTCGATCCTTTGCCGAGAGCCCCGAACAGCCTGTTTCACACATCCGGTTACCGGGCAGCAACTTGGGGCTTGTCGACCGTCTCAAGGGGATGTCCGTCGAGCGAATCAAGCCCTCTTTTCAGTAGGTATTATGGCTGACCCCTTTTTACCCTCTATATGGCTAAGATGTTGTGGTTTGTTTTGTGCATGCTGGTTGAGCCAAGAAACATGTTTTGGTGCCATTTATACTTTTTTTATTTGAGAGTTATGGGGAATGTTATCAAGTACAATTTTATGCCTAAGTATATTGTTGTTATGCTGAGTTTGTGGCTTATAACTCCCAGCTTTGAGTGGTTTAAAAAGGGCATGCTCAAGTGTTGATAGAAGTTGGAAATGAAAGCATGTATGTATGAATATATGTTGCTATTTGGCCGTGCGATCTTGCTCAGTTGCTGAGCTTATTTTATATGATAAGCATGCTTAAGAAGTTAATTAAAAGTCTAAGAAGAGGAGAAGACTTTTAATGGTGGCTTTGTTTTGGTTGAGGTTTGCGTGCCCGTGGCCATATTAATTTCCGTGGTTAAAAGGAATTTATTTCAGAAAGTTAATAGAAATTATCTAATTCATTGCTTGTTTTATGTGCGTAATTTGATATGTTTTCCTTGCTTGTGTGGTCTAACCAACCAAATAAAAACCAATAATAATAATTAAATTCCTAATTTTTAGGTTTCCGAGGAGTCGAGCCCTTGAACCTATCGTGAGCAGTTGCATTTGATACTTCCGAACACCAGGTGGGTTTTATTTGAAAAATTTCTATGCATTAATTAATTGTTATTGTTGTGGTATGATCAAAGTATGCATGTGAACCATGTAGCCTTCGATGTGAGCTATATTGGCCGTCAAACGGTTATCCCCGTAGCTATAGAAGGTACCCGATGGGATGTCTCCTTTATTTATGTATGGCAGTCAGGGCGTGAGCCTTGGCTGGTGATCCATGATGTAAGTCCGAAGGGATGTTTTCGGGCATTCGGGGTGGATTTACTCCTACTGTCTGGGCATGGAATGTAAGGCCCGCGGGGGTTTTCGATACTTGTATCAGCAGTGGTCTATTGGTATAGGTGTGAACATGAGAGTTGACTCTGGGAAGGAGATGGAATATTAATTGATTTGTGTTCATACTGCGACCATACCTGCTTTATTTTATGAAATTTAATATTAATTATTGCATAGTGGTGAGCACCTCGATTTTCTATTGTGCTCATCCCCACCTGCTCTTCATGGATGCAGGTTAGTATTTGCGGGCACGACAGCGGAAAGCGAGTGGTAGTCATGTTATTGATTATTTCCGCTGTTTAAATTGTTTAATATGATTTATGCATTCCTGACTTATGTTGAGTACTGAATTATCGATAGGGAGTGTACTCCCTAGTATTTATGGATTTGATGAACCCAGTCTTGGGAGTTGATGTCATTTATGAACCCGGTTTGGGTATTGACTATTTATGATTATTGAACCCGGTTTGGGTGTTGATTATCTATGACTATTGAACTCGTTGGGAATTGCATATGTAACGCCCCAAAACAGTAATGATATTCAGAATGGTTTCACTGCTCGACTATAAGTGAAATCCGTAATTTTCAGAAATTATCGAGTTATATTATTTATGCTAAATGCTCAAACATGATAAATTATTCTTTGAATAATTCTATCTCAAGTATAAGTTAAGGTTAATCCATTAATTTGGGTTATTAAATAATAGCAAGTCAATTCGAGAAATTACCGGACACGAACCCTAGTTGTCGTTCCGAGTATATTGTCCTAAGTCAAAAATTGAGAGTTGATATTTTAATACTTAGAATATTTTTCTAAGTGTGTTAGAATACCAAAGGCGAGCTTTGGACATTTTATATTGAGCCCTAGTGCTCACCCGAGCCGCCCGTGCCGAGCCCCGCACCCGCGCCTCGTGCCGTGCCAAGCACGTGCCTACCGAGCCCATGGCTTGTCCTAAGCCTTGGCATAAGTTGGTAAAATAATTCTAAGTGTTCTTGGACCCTTGGAGAGCCTTAGGACTCGGCCC